ATCTGAATGATGTCCTGAGAGCCCTTTAGTAGTTAAACATAATCCAGGCAAACAAAGGCAGGCGAAAGGTATCGATTTTATGTCACATAAATGTGTGTGTCACAAGCCTTAAATAATGCTCCTAGGGCCCTTTTTGGTGTGACGGGCAAGCCTGTCTTTAACAACGTGAGAGCTCCTTTCTCTAAGGTCAATCGTATGTGTTTAACCTCTAGGCTCCCGAGTGGCTGACTGCCCCACTGGTTTATGGAGTGGAAGCCAAGGAGATTGGGGATTTAGGGCGCCGATGACTTGATCTTGCAGACTCTCGCTGTGTTACCCATGGATGGTAACAAATCTATTGCAGGCCGGCAGCCTCAGCCCTTCTGGGAGGCACAGTTGGCTGGTTCGCATTTCAGAGTTACTCCCGGAGGTGCAAAGCCCAGGGTCACCTTTAGAAATGGACTTGATCTCAAATCTGTGAGAGAAAATGGTCTGCCTTAATTGAGGTTCACACACACACACACACACACTCACCCAGCAAACAGCTATAAAGGCAAACCCGAGGTCTTGGGGTCTCTTCAGTTTTTGTTTCCTATCTGGAAAATTTCCACTCTGTGTATTTTCTGAAATCATTTTTTTTTAAATGCTAGGCCTAAGGCAGGGAAGATAACTCATCAGTTTCTGAAGCCTGATGACCTGTGTTTGATCCCCTGAACCCACACAAATGTGGACAGAGAGAACGGACTCTCGGTAATGTCCTCTGACCACTACACATGCATTCTCTGGCATGCGTGTGCCCTCTCCAACACACACACACACACACACACACACACACACACACACACACACACACACACTAGTAATACATAAATAAAAGTGTTAGGTCTTTGAGACATGCTGTTAGGAAAGGAGGATAGGAAGGAGGAAGAAGGAATAGACAGTGGCAGAGGTATATCGGAGATACAGGATGCTCCCACTTTGAGACTCCCAGGATGCAGCAGAAATGAAGACTCAGGTCTGCCAGCAGAGAAGGGCATTTCATTTGAGGCTAGCGCTGTCCCACAAATGTCTGTGTCCTCTGCCGATCCCTGCCTTGAAATGCTCACTCCCAAGGTGACGGTGTTAGGAGGTGGGCCTCTGGGAAGTTGTTAGGTCATGGGGGCTTGCCCTTGTGAGATTAGTGACCTTATAAAAGAGGCCCCGAAGAGACCCAGCTCCTTCCCTCAAGGGAGACAAGTCCACGGGGTATAGCTGAGGATAGAGTTAGAGTAGGATAGCTTGTCTGAGAACGCAGACTCTGTCCAGCCACTACGTCTGTCAACACCGGGATCCTGAACCTTCGGCCTCCAAAACCAGGGGGAGGAAACTTGCATGTTTATGTGTCACCCAGCCTGTGGGGCTTTGTTACAGGAGCCCAAACAGACTCGGACATCCAGGATTTTTAACTCACACTTCACCTCCTTTCCCACTTGCTTTTCGTTTGTTAGCACAATTGACTTTCGAAATAGAATCTTGCTGTGTAGACCAGGCTGGCCTCAGACTTGCTTCCCTGCTGCCTCAGCCTCCCAAGTCATGGGAGTCCAGGTCTTCAGCACCGCAACGGGCTCCTAACCCAGTTTGAAAAACAGCTAAGGTTTATTCTGCCCTTTGGTAAACTCCGATTTAAGTGTGTGCCCTCAAATTGCACATAAAACAAGACTTGGCCTCTTACGAAGGACAAAATTTAACCATGAGACATAACCGAAATATCAGGGGGAAAATACAGCCTGGTTGCCAAGAGTTCATCATTTCCACTTTGTCAGCACGGAATTAATTCCGCCCTGCCCTGACTTCTCGCGGAGAAGTTAGTCGAGCAGAGAAAATTGACAGTTCTAGGGCAGACATGGTTGTAATCAAAACCGTGGAATGGCTCCACAGCTCACAGGTGAGCAGACAGAGAAGATGAGGCCTAGAAAATCTGGAGAAGTGGACAGGGCACCAACATGGACCTCTCTAAGCACAGGGACCCTGGCTCAGAACTGTACTGGACTCCTACACTCTGGTTCCCCCTCTGCCAAGTGTCACTCACGTGCTGGCTGGAGTTTTCTAGAAGTGAGCCTCATATCTACGCACCACAATGTCCACCTCACTTAGAGACACTTTTCCTGAAGACCTAGGGCAAAGGAACCCTACTGTTCCCAGAAGCCTTGCACTATGACAGATTGTGGTGACATCTTCAGACCTGACCTGGTCAGCCAGCATCACGGGCAGAGTGGTCCATACCCAGGTGTAATGGGCAGGATTCTCTAGAGAAACAGAATAGATAGGATGAACAGGTGTATGCATAAAACTTTGAGATAGTAATAATGGCCGAACCACACCTGAGAGGCCAAGAGCTCACTAGTTGCTCGGCCCTTGAGGCTGGGTGCTCAGAAGTCCCAACCTGTCACAGAAAACCCAAAGGGTTCCTGGGAGCTTCTGGTCCTCAGTCAATGATGGAAGCCTGGAAACACAGGTTCTGGTATCAGTGAAGGAATTATCAGCAGCAACAACAGGATGAATTAACTCAGAGGTGAGAGCCAAGGCCAACTCAAGAAAAGGCAAGCAACCTTCCTTCCTCCGGTCCACTTGGATCTGGGCGGCCACCAGAAGGTGCTGCCCATGTGTGGGGTGGATTGTCCCACATCAGTTAAGACCAGTAAGACAATTCCTCAAATGAGGCTCCCCACTCAGGTGACTAATTTGTGGCAAGTTGACATTAAAACCAACCAACCCACTAAGGAATGGACTCATATCTGAGGACTACAACTATTTCTGAGGAAATTAAAAGATTTCTGCCATTAAGTGACACAATCGCATTAGTTACTTTCTCTTTATAGTTGTGGATGTCATTGGTTACACCAGGGCCACTTCTAGAATAGACTCCACTCGGTCCTGGAATATAGCTTTGATACACTACAGGATTGGCTTTGCTGAAAATGTGCTTCACATTTTTACATTTAAATCCCTGACTGAGGGAGGGATGTGGCTTTCTATGTTAGGGTCATTTTTGTTTGATTGAAGTATTAAAATTGTGTTGGAACCTAAATGAGTCGATGTGGCATGTTGAAATATGGAACAATTATCTGTTCCTCCAGAGGGACACGGAGCTCAGCTATGCCACACTCCAGTCTGGCTAACTACAAGATCTTCAGTCCACATTGCTTCATCTTCTGTGGCAACTGCTCCATCTGAGTTCTTTGTAAACCAGTTTCTTCTACTCACTTTAAAAACTCAGCTTCATCAAGCATAATTTCCACATCACAAAATCCAGTCACTTTTAACCATGTACAATTTAGGGTATAATTCCATGACTTTTAGTAACTGTAGGTCAATTTCGATCAGTTTTTAAAAATAACTATTTATTCTTTGAACACTTCGTACATGTATACAATGTATTTTGATGATCTCTATCCCCTACTACCTACCTCAGCTCTGCCCTAAGAGTCCTATTAATGCATCTCCCTCCAATTTTTGTTTGTTTGGAAACAGGGTCTCCCTACATAGCTGTGGCTGTCCTGGAACTATCTCTGGAGACCAGGCTGGCCTCGAACTCACACAGATCACTTCTGCCTGGGATTAAAGGTGTTGAAACCATCACACCCAGTTCCATTTTTTTACTTTTTACTTTTTAATTTTAATTATTATTATTATTTTGGTTTTTCAAGACAGGGTTTCTTCTGTGTAGCTTTGTGCCTTTCCTGGAACTGGCTTTGTAGACCAGGCTGGCCTCAAACTCACAGAGATCCACCTGCCTCTGCCTCCCTAGTGCTGGGATTAAAGGCGTGCGCCGCCGCTGCCGCTGCTGCCGCCGCCGCCGCTGCCGCCACCACCTGGCCATCAGTTCCATTTTTTAAAAAATTAATAACCCACTGAGTCCAATTAGGGCTGTCCATATACACATGGGCATGGGGCTATCATCTGCATTGTACTCTTAAGAAAAACAAAATTTTCACCCCGGTAGCCATCAACTGCTGATAGCTTTCCAGCTAGGGGTAGGACCTTGGGCGTCCCTCTCCTCCACCCATGGTGAAACGTTGTCAGTTTTTGGAACAATACACCCATTTCCCTCAGGTTGTGAGCCACTTTCACAGACTCCCCATGGTTTCTTGTCTTTCAGGATGTACAGGAGAGCTGGGGACCTTGTAAAGGTGGGAAAGGCAGTGTTACGGGCGCGTTTAGAGAAACAGCTGATCAAGGACAACGCTCAATATAGAAGTCGGGAGCCTGGCGCATCCTTCCTTTATTGCCCTGACCAGCAGCGTTTCCTGTTTGACAGTCAAGTCAGATGTTCTGCTTTATGTAAAAAAAACAACAACAAAAAACAAACAAACAAACCCTACGATCAGCCTCTGAGTGATGGGATTACAGGCTTGTGTCATCATACTTAGTTACACAGAGCTGCACATAAGTAACTCGGTATGTAACTTTTTGTGTCTGGCGTCTTTCAGTTAGAGGTATTCTCAGATTTGTCCATTCTGTGGCATATTTCAGTACATTCCTTGTTATCATTGAACACTATTCTATTGTATAAAGGTGCCACAATTTACTGAACTAGTCACTCTTTAAAAGGGATTTCCAGCTAATAATAATTATACATGAAATTGCTAATGCCTATAGATTTATGTATATAAGTTTATATTTCTTTTGAGTTAAGTACCTTGGAATAAAATTTCTTGGCTAAGTAGTAAATGTGTTTAACAAAGTAAGACATTGCAGATTTGGAGAAAAGGCTCAGTGGTTAAGAGCACTTGTTGCTCTTGCAGAGAACCCTGGTTCAATTTCCAGCACCCACATAACGACTCACAGCATGCCGCAACTGCAGCCCCAGGGAATCTGACACCCTCTTTTCTTTCTGCAAAAGGCCAGCCATGGAATAAGAGTTCCCCACACTTATTCCACGACAGCATCCTGAGAATTACGGGCACAGCTGTGTAGGAAGCTGTGGAAGGCCAAGCAAAATGAGGCTAGCAGTCAGACACCAGCATGAACTTCATAGGAGCCTAGGGCTGGCCACACGCCACCAAACGTATGAGGGTGCTGGGCTGGTCACGACTGTGCACACGTGTGTTCCACTGACTTGCTTCTGCCATGCCCAACTCCCAGTGAGGGACAGCCGGAGCTCGCCCAGGCCTTGCCTGGCGTTTTTCCTCAGACCTCACAGCATCATCATGGGCTTTCCTGTTCTCTGCCAGCCTGCTGGCCTCTTGGATTTTGCACCACTTGCCAAACATGATCTTTTGGTAGAAATACTTCTTTCACTTTCTCATCATTGCGATGGCCAGGCGCTTAGCCTCACTTTTTTCTTCCTCCTGGGCCAGCCGCTGCTTGTCCTCCATTTTCACAGTGCCAGCCACCACCTGGGGCTTCTTCCCTTCCAGCCTTCGCTGCTCCAAGGCCAACAGGTGCTCTTCCTCCTCCTTCTCTGAATCACCTTCCACATCTTCCTCCTCCTCATTCCCCGCCCCCAACATCACCATCCCCTTGATTGTCATCATCTTCATCCTCCTCTTCCTCTTTCAAGTCTCCTGGGTCTTCTCCCCGCTGCAGAGCCCTAGCTTCCACTTCTGGGGGATGGGGGGGATGTAATCTCCTTCCTTCTCAAATACAAATGGTGAAAGGTGTGGGGGCAGCTGTACCCCAGGGAAGTCCTCTGCCCCGGGGAGGAGGAGGCGGGCATTCACACAGTCAGACACGCACTGGGGCTGTACATGGTGCCGGCCAATGATGGGGGTTTGCTGCCCAGGCAGGTCAACAGTCTGGTGGGTGAAGCAGGCAGGAGTCTGTAATGTCATAGGTGGCTCCGATGCACAAAGATGTCCCAGGATGCATCCCCATCAAAACTCCTGAGGATGAAGGACAATGCTTCACGGGGCACCTCTCAGTTCAGGAAGAACTTCAGGCCTTCAAAGAGTTTCTTGTGTTTTTCCTGGGTCTTCAGCTCTTTCCTGGGCCCTTCCTCCTGTGTGGCCATCTCCCCATCAGTAGGAAACTCAATGGCCTCAGCCTCCTCTATGGTAGGCACCTCCACTTGAGCCAAGCTGGCACTGAGGGCTGCTAGTTTCTCCATAGAGCTCTCAGGGTCCAGTGCATATGTGTCCTCACTGATCTTTGTCTCTGCTTGGGCTTGACCTTCACGTTTGGGTGGGTAGTGAAGACTGAGAGACTGGTAAAGGCGGAAGTTGACAAAGCCCAGGAGAGTGGTCTAGAACTCAGTGAAGGTGGCCATGGCCCTGTAGTCCACATCTGTTGGATGATCATGGGAGAAAGTATAGGGTGCAATTCATATGATGGGCTGCCCTGGTGATAAATGCCTTTGATGGACGGGAAGACCTTGCGCGGGGCTCGGGCAGCAATGACGTAGTGCAGGAACTCCACAGTCAGCGGGTAACGCCTCTGAATGGTCTGCACATGGCACTTACCCATCTATGGGAAGGTGGAGAAGAGGAAGCACATTGGCAGGGCATCATCAAGATCCCTTAGAGCATCGATAAATGTGGGGTACCGCTCCTCGACAATGTGCTCAAGTTTGTACTGGGTTTATTGTCCTTCAAGCTCCACAGCATTCCACTCACTCTTCCCGTAGGCTTTGTGGAGCTTCCAAATAAACCATCTTGTACTCTTGGAACTTGTTGACACGTTGACATGCTCATGGAGGAGGACTTTAATAACTTTGATAAGGTAGTATGTTCGGGCTGCTGTGGAACCCTTGTTCATTTTCTTCTTATGCTTGGGCTCAGAGGGATAAATGCCTTTCAGGGTACACAGCCGCCGGAAATCAGGCAGGCTCAGCTGCAGCTTCTTCCGGGCTTTGTTTCGGGTGATGTAATTGGTGGTGGAGCCTCCTTCATACTTCTTCTCCAGACCTCCCATGACTCCACGCTGAGAAACCCTGACGCCCTCTTTTGGCCTCCTTGTGTACTGCATGAATGTAGTGTATACACATAGATTCGGGCAAACACTCAGACACATAAAACATGTAAACCTTAAACAAAATAGATAATACAGATTCATTTCTATTTTTGTTTTGTTTTGTTTTTTGTTTGTTGAACAGGGTTTCTCTGTGTAGCTTTGGTGCCTGTCCTGGATCTTGCTCTGCAGACCAGGCTGTCCTTGAACTCAAAGAGATCCACCTGGCTCTGCCTCCCGAGTGCTGGAATTAAAGGTGTGCACCACCACTGCCCGGCAGAATTCCTCTCTTTAAAAAAAAAAAAGAAGAAGAAGAAGAAGAAGAGAAGAGAAATTAGTGACTAGAGCAGGACTACATTAATGTTTGTTGTGAGGCTGGTCTACGGCTGACAGATTCTCTTAGTTCCTGTTTCTCTGGGAAACACTATTTCATCTTTATTTTGAGGAATAGTTTTTCTGAGTATAATATTCTTGTTAACGTTTTTCTTTCAGTACTTTGAACACAGCATTTCACTCTCCTCTAGCCTGTAAGCTTTCTGCTGAGTAGTCTGCTGGAGGCCTAATGGGCAGTCCTATGTGTGACTTGGTGTTCTTTCCTGTTTTTGAGAATTTTTCTCTTTATCTTGTACTTTTTGACTATTCTCTAGCTTGGTAATGGTCTATTTTGGTTAAATCTAGTTGGAAGCCCCTGAGCTATTTTAAAATCTGGGAAGTTTTCTAAAGTAGGTTTTCAGCATCCTTCCCCATTTCTTTACCTTCTGGGACTTTCATTATGAAACCCACCAGATAGTGTGAGAGAGCTAGAGTTGCCCACCTCCACCCCACCTCTGCTCCACAGTTTGGGGTTTTCAGATTCCTTAGCAACCATTCTGGTGAGGATGTATGGTACCTCGTGCTTTCCATTTGGATGGATGGATGGACGGATGGATGCATGGATGGATGCATGGATGGATGGATGGTGTGTATGCATGTGTATGTATGAGTGTGTGCGGCCTTACTCCTACATGTGAAAGCCAGAAGTTGATGTTGGGATGTTTCTCCTTAACCACTCTCCACCTTGTGGCTTTTTTGTTTGTTTGGTTTTTGTTCTTTTTTTGAATCCAGCTCTTACCATTTGGGCTAGACTGCCAGCAATCTCCAGGGTTGCCCGTCTCCCTTCCCAGTGTTGAGGTTATAAGCACTCATCATTGAGCCTGGCTCATAAGTGGCTTCCGGGGATCCAGTCCTAGGCTTGTGCGGCCCCATCTTAATCACTGAGCCATGTCCCCCCTCATTTCTATTTTCTAACGACTCTTGTCTGCCTTCGCTATGATTTCTCTTCTTTTATTATTTGATCGGTTCAAAATTTTACCCATTTAAAACATGACACCACTTTTACTACAGAGTTATAAAAATGGGTCCAGAATATTTGCTTTGTAAATATTTTTCCCAATTTTATTTTATTACTAAGTCTTTGTAAAAACACACATGTTCAATATTATTAAGGTATATTGATTTTTTTCTGCTATACTTAGTGCATTTGATGTTAAAACTAAGACTCTTTGTCTAGCCCAAGGTCATATGTTTCTTCTAGAAATTTTATAGTTGTGGTTTTTGCATTTATACCTATGACTCATTGAAAATTAAGTTTTATATCTAGATCAAGGTTAATTTTTTGGCATTCAATCAAATCTATTGTTTGAACAGACAGTTCTTTCTCTTTGAATTACCCTGGCACTTGTGACGGTTACAGATTGACTGTATCTATCTACATGGGCCTTTTTCTAGACTTCCTGTTGTTTCATTAATCAGTGTGTCTATTGTCTTAGTAGGTCTATTTTTCTCTCCTGTGGCTGTGATGAAATGCCCTGACAAAAGGAACTTAAAGGAGAAAGGTTTATGTCAGCTCACAGTTCAAGGGGAAAGTCCATCATGGCAGTGAAGTCAAAGCAGGTAGGTGAGTGCGGGGAGTGTGTGTGTGTGTGTGTGTGTGTGTGTGTGTGTGTGTGTGTGTGTGTGTGTGTTGAAGCTGACTGAAAATCCCTGAAGCAGAGGGGCGGAGCTTCTAGTGATAACAGTAGGTACGGTTAGAGACTTGGCAGCACGCAGAGACCCTCCAGAAAGACTCACGTTTCCTGTGTGGTTACTGGGGGATGTTGGGCCTGACACGGGTGTGTTCTGGAGTCAGTGGCCTTTTGTTCTCAGTAAAATTCCACGAGGGACACTGGAGAGACAGTGCAGCGGCCAAACACCTGCCCTGCAAGTGTGAGGACCAAAGTTCTTGCCCCAGAACCCAAGTGGATGAGCTGCTCTGCCTGTGACGTCAGCCTGGAAAGGTGGAGGGAGACAAGGGATGCCCGAGCAAGCTAGCTGGTGAGACCGGCAGAGCTGCAGGCTCTGGGTTCGATTGGGAGACCTTATTTCGTTGAATAAGGTGCAAGAGCAATCCAGGATGACTGCTGACCTCAACCTCAGACCTCCACGTGCACACAGACACACAGACACACACACACACACACACACAGACACACACACACAGACATACACACCACACAATACTACACATAAAGACACACACTACACACATACAGACACATACACACCACACAATACTACACATAAAGACACACACACACCACACACACACACTACACACAAAGACACACACACACCACACACACATACACATACACACCACATACATACTACACACAGACACATACACCACACACACACTACACAAACAGACACACACACACTATACACACAGACACAGACACACACACCATTCACACAGGCACACAGACACACACACAGACACACAGACACACAAATAGAACAAGAAAAAAAATTCACAATAAAGTCAACACAGGGAGTCCTTCACATCATGTTTTCCCCGTGGTGGTTCGTGCTCTCCCTGAGAACAACAGCAACAAGAGGCCTGAGGTAGAGCATCATGCTACACAGCCTGCCCCAATCTCAAACTCATTTGACCTTGGACCCTCTTGAAGACAAAACCTCCCGATAGCCAAGTGTTACCCTTTGCTGTGAAAAAAAAAAAAAGCACCTGTGAAAATATCGCCACAGATAATTCTATGATCTCCCTCGTCTTTCAATATCAGAACAATATTCAAATGAGACAATTATGTCAGAGCTGGCTGGTTGCTACATGATGCTGTGAGCAATGCCTGTGCTTCATCTTTGAAAGAGGGAGAAGCTGGGGTTTTTTAGTGCCTGATTTCCTTGTGTTCTGCCTCAGAAATGATGAACAAAATATTCTCCCAACACAAAGTACCGAACTAAGCAGGGAGGGTGAGTGTTCCCACACACTTTCTCCCCATCTCCTTACTTCAGACTCCCGCTTTGCCCTGATTCATTGCATAACTGGTCCTGAAATCATCTATATCCATATCCATATCTATATCTATACCTATCTATCAAGAGATACTATTCCATGTGTATGTGTTCCTTGTAGTGATCAGTGTGATGCGGTAAATATAAATTAGGCAATACTCTCCTTACCAAGAAAGAAGAAACTTTCTAATGATTGACAACACACGATTCAGTGAGCAACACCCTAAACAACACGGCAGTTTGCAGCAGGAGGCAGCTGCTATGGTTGATTGTTTTGTTTTTGTTTCTGTTTTCTGAGACAACAGCATTGCTGTTGGGCCGGGAGGCCAAGGTGTAGCGTTCAGGGGATATGCGGCCAGAAAGTAGCTCCTCAGCCTGCCTCTGTAATTAAAAGTATAAATGTTTCAAGTCGAATACATCCTATTAGTAAGATTTTAGGAAACAAAAATTTAATTTATTCACATTCGATATGGTCTGTAAATGCCACCATTATGGGCCTTCCGCTGGCCTTTGATTAGCTATGGATTAATAAAACTTTTATACCTCCTTTGTCAGCCTCGTTGCGAACACTGTTTTTGCATACTGTTACTATTAAATAAATGAATTAGTGTCCAGAAATGTGTCATGCATATTACCTAGCAGCAGGAAGCATGATACAGTGGTCAGCTCCCCAGGAGCCTCATAAATCCAGTGTGCTCGGTAACCTGCTCACGTGGACCTATTAAAAGCGTGGTGATTTACTGGAGCCGTATTTGTGCTTAACAATGGAATTTTAGTTAATTCAAAACAATGTAAATCACCTCCAATTACAGTATTTGAATATTCACCATTGCTTCACAGAGCAGGAACTGTTACTAAGACAGGGTTGGGTAACTTGTGTGCAATGTAACCCCATCCTGGAGAGCCCGGTTTATCTGAAGCAGCTAGTTAACTCTCTGCCGGAGTAATTTAGGGAAATATCTGGAAAGAGAGGAAAGCAGGAGCAAGGCCTTGGGTTCCCTTCCTGGCTACAGTGCTCAGGTGAGTGTGGTAGTTGCCACGGTGTGGCTGTTCACTGTGAGGGGGCAGCATTACTAGAAGCTTGGGACTCTCTGTTGCTGTGGTTATTAAATCTCAGCTCTTTGATACCACATAACGGATCCGTCCCTGAGGGGACAGCGCTGACCAGATTGCATCCTCAGGTTTGAAACAGGCTCTTATTCCTGAGGTCTCAGAGGGCCTTCCCGGGGACTAAAGGATGATGAGCTGTCGTCAGCAGGCTGCAGAGATTGTGTGCAGCAGTGCTGGGCCTTGAAACTGGATGGGATCTGCCGGTTCCCATCCTCCCCAGGTGAAACAGGAGCAGAATTAATCCTGGTTAAGGTAAACTTCCTCGGAGTGCCTTCTGTCTGTTGGGGATGTTTAGTTTTCTTGATCTTGACCCTAGTCTGAAATGGGTGGGCTTGCATTTAGTGAAATGCACAGCCTGGGAGAAATACCGACTTTGGGCAAAGTCAGCTGAGTGTGTGTGTGTGTGTGTGTGTGTGTGTGTGTGTGTGTGTGTGTGTGTGTGTGTGTACATGTACCAGGTTCTATTTAGGTCAGACAGCAGTCTGGGGTGGGTCCTCCAGCTTGTTTGAGACAGGGTCTCCTGTCATCACTGTC